GAGGGGGGGGGGTCGCGGTCCAGTTCTCACGGCCAATCAGAGCCATTTCTTTTAAATGCGCCGAGTTAACGTCTTGACATGGCCGCGTGAAGCCATCGAGTCGGATATTTGGGAGATGGGACTGGATGGGGTTTTTTGTTTGTTTGTTTGGGGGGGGGGGGGGGGGGGGGGGGGGCTGTTGGCCTTTTGTAGAAATAATTTACGCGTAATGGGACATGGTGATTTTCTAAGAATGGAGTAAAGGTAAATGTGGTGAAAGTCAGTATGCCAATTAGTGCGAGACCAATTGATGTGTAAACCCCAGTCAGGGTAGTTGAACACTGCAACAGTAACTGTATAGTTGGTGTATGAATGATAAATAATCTGTGTATTAAAAGAATAACATAAATGATCTTATTGGCAGAAATAGCGGGCTCTTGTATCTTTTCTTCATTTTTACAGTTATGTCTACAAGTGTGTTTGCCAGCAACACTCCGAGCTGCTCTACAATGACCTGAAATCCAAAATAGCAAATCATCTACAGCGGGTATCCACTGATCTGAACGTAAGATAAGCTAAACTTTTGTATACAAATGCAGTAGTCTCTGACGTGTGTGCCCATCCATCAAGTACAAAATTAAACAAGCAAATAAATAGAACAAATATGTCCTTGTGGGAGCCCTTCTGCACTTTCGCCCCATTGTTTGATTGGTGAGGCACCTTTAGAGTTCACAAAAGTAAAATATTTGCCTCGGCTCAATTAATGGTGGCAAACACTTGGAATTGAAAAGGAAAATATGAGTTTAAGACTTGGGCACTGAGTAGCCACTTGCTTCATTGCAAGGCAATCACCCACACGCTCATTTTGCAGAATTCTTGTCACACAATTGTAGAACGAAATGACCACAGTAAAGAAAAAGCAAAACATGCACAAGAGTTAACACGGTCAAAACATGTTCACATTTCTTTTTTTTTTTTTAAGCAGAGGTTCAAGTAAACTTCTCCAGGTGTATTTTTGTGCTGATTCCAAATCTGCCCTCGTTTTTTTTCTCTAGCACGTCAGGTTTTCATAAGAATCTAATAACCATAATATATGTAATATAGTTTTAACTAAAGATTACACTCAGCAACAGGTAGAATTTTTTTTGGAATGTCCCAGCTGTAAATTATAACGCATGGTAAATTCTGTATTGCGCAAGTTTTTATGGTCCAATTTAAGAACAAAACATGAAAATATCTCAAAAATCTGGTGTACTGGAAATAAGACATTCTTTTGGTCACCATCAAAAATACATTCAGGGATACATGAAGCCATCTCTGATTAAAATTTGTTGTTGACCAGTATAATGACGAATCTGCATTTTACAGTTTTCGATTTTTAGCAGGTCTAAATGCGGGATTATGACATGTCGCCGTTTTTATTGTTTTTAGGCCGTCCCACTTGAAAACCTGATTGAAAGCTTTAACACAGCCCTGACACAATACATTGCATCTCTTCAGTGTATTGTTCCAGTATTTATGTATTTGGTAAGTCACTTTTAAATCACTGTGCTTGAATGCAGTGTATATTTCAGTCCTTGAAGTTGAACAATAACACTCCTTGAATTTTACACTGTTTTATGTTTGACATACACACAAAAAGGAAGTACATTTTATGCAGCTTTCTCATGAAGATTGTTTTCAGAACAAGTTCTACATCGAATCAAAGCTGAACCGCGACCTGAAACAAGATCTGATGAACCTGTTTGCTGATCATGTCGCAGAGAAATATGTCAACACACTCATGCGTGAGTACCTTGTTCTTGTTTGTGTGACTGGCAAAACGTCCCTGCAATGTGTTGGGAATGAAACGGCTTTATTCCCAAATTAAATCAAATAATTTTTGTGCACAAAATGATTTTCAGCCTGATTGAGCTTGAAGGGTGCAGCAAAGAGCAATGGGCATAACTGCCCCAAAATACCATAGATGTGGCAAGCGTGTGGCTTTCATATTAAAAAAATGAATTCAAGCCATTGTGGAATAAGGCTGTAACATAAAATGTGTAAAAGCTGAAGTGCTGTGTGTACTGAATGTGACGATTTTGAAAAGATGTGACTCAAAGCTAAGTTTTTCTAACACTGGTGTTGCTGGTCTCATTTGATCATTATTTAGGGAAAAAATGACATATTCTTATTGACTTCTGTAAAAGCTGAAGTGCTGTGTGTACTGAATGTGACAATTTTGAAAAGATGTCACTCAAAGCGAAGTTTTTCTAACACTGGTGCTGCTGGTCTCATTTGATCATTATTTGGGGAAAAAAAGGACATATTCTTATTGACTTTTCAAGCATTTTTCTTCCAGCTCTTCTCATTAAAGCTCACGCGGTGCCCTTTGAAGTCCAGCCGTCAACCATGGCCAATGTGGTCAAAGGCCTCCACAGCCTCCGACCAGGTGTGTCACTGCAAAGCAGTCGTTAAATACCGGCTGGGGTTTCCAGAACTTAGAGTTGAGGTCCAAAATGGATTAATAAGATAACGTAAGATAAAACTTTATTTGTCTCACAATGGAGAAATTCCCAAATATAGGTTATTTGTTATGTTATTATTACAAATAGTAGTTAGAGTTGAGGTCCAAAATGGATTAATAAGATAACATAAGAAAAAACTTTATTTGTCTCACAATAGAGAAATTCCCAAATAAAGGTTATTTGTTATGTTATTATTACAAATAGTGAGTCAGTTTGGATTGTACAAAATGCTGAAAGCTGTGTTTTTTGTTTTTTTTTACACTACCAAGCAGGCACACAATTTCTTGCCAGTGGATGTCTCGTAATAAATTACTGTCCACTGTGCTATATACAATACATCCTGATTTATATAGACCTTTCACAACAACTGCAGTTGTAACAAAGCACTTAACAAAACAGTTAACACAAAGTAAAATAATAAGCACAACACATAACGTAAAACACGGACAGTCGTGCAATCCTAACCACTTTTCCCTCACACACTTTGTTGTTTGAAGCACTTTGTGATGAGAAGAGAAAGAGGTCAAAAAGTGTCATTTCACCAGTGGATCTGAGACGTCATTCTTTAATCTGATTCACTAATTATTCATGGCTTTTGGGTGTAAGGGTGAACTTCATTTGACCTCTACATTTTTAAATGTACATGTCAAACCGTGTAACGCTCTTGGTCCAAACCCCCAATTCCAATGAGGTTGGGACATGATGTAAAATGTAAATAAAAAAAACACGGTGATTTGCAAATCCTTTTCAACCTATATTCAATTGAATAAATGGCAAACACAAGTATACGTGTGTGTGTGTGTGCGTGTGTGCGTGCGTGCGTGCGTGCGTGCGTGCGTGTGTGTGTGCGCACGCACGCGCACTGCACTGCACTGCAATTCTGACTTTACTCCTGTGATTCAAATTTTGGTACAAAGTGAGGTTACGCCACTGCCGTAGGAAGATAACTTAGTTGTGAACCGAAAGAGTGTATGTTTTAGTAACTTTGGGTATAGAGATGAAAAGGTTTGCGAAAGCCTGCTTTGTATCATAATTAATTTTTAAATACAGTAGTGTGAATTTTTTTTTTTTTTTTTTTTTTTTCAAACACACAGAGTGGGCCCAGTTGGCACCTGCTCTCTTCTCTGACTTTATTCCTCAAATCAACCCTCCCGCTCTGGAGTCTCTGCTGTTGGACTACGCTGCTCATGACCAGAAGCTCCAGATGGAGCTTTCGATGAACGGCTTTCCACGGTTAGTTTGTCTCGAAATTTAAGTGCTCAATGCCAATGTGACATATACCATTTTGAGGAAAAATTGGACACATGAAATTAATAAAGACGAGTACTTTGCTGTGTTACTTTTTGTTTTTCAGGGGTGATCAGTCTCGCAAGAGGGCCAATGACGACTCCTGATTGGAAGGCGGGCATTTGCACTTATCCGGCCCAATGGCATCGCTGTTCCGTATGAAAGGTACCCACACAGAACGGTCCAGAATTGGTCGACTCCTGAGGTAGCATCAGAGGCGCGTCAGACTCGGGCCGGATGTTGTATGAAAGGGAATAGCGGAAAGCCGGGGTCAGGATGTAAATGGCTTCTCCTGTGCATCGCATCAGACTGAAGAGAGGACGATGACATGCCATGTCGCGTGTGAACAAACACACGTGTTTCTAGCTTCAGTGGTTGGTGAATGGCTCAGGCTCATCAATCTCTCTAATGTTATGTGGATGCCGTGTCTAACGGTGCATGAACAGGGCGTGTGTTCCTGCGCCTCCCACCTGCTGATACAATACGAGAGAAACTTTTCCCCGAACATCAGTGACACCGATCACTGCGGTGTGAGCAGACCTGTTTTTCTATCCATGTTTTCTGTCTTTGTCAGAGTGCCTTCATGGTGGTTTTGCATCCTAACATTCATCTTGAAAATGTCTTGCAAAAGAATGGGCTAACAAAAGACTCCTGCTGCTGTATACCAAACCTTTGGTTTCGCCCCTTGTGACTGTGAAGTCGGCAGCCTGAACACAGAAGAGTGGCGAGAAATGGGATTTAAACTGTGATTCTCCGTCCATGTTGTTGCCTTTATGTGTTGGTATAAACAGAATTGTTTTCCATGACACCAAAGAGGGTTTGCAGTACTTGGCAGTGATTCGGTATGAATTCAAGCTAACATTGTTAATGATGCATGTTTACTTGTCTTGAGTATACATATATATTTTTTATACTAACCGTTTGGTTATTGTTTTTGAAAATACAACTTAAATCTGTGTGTTGTAGACTTGCATGTAGAACTTTTGAGTCAGTCGAGTGCCAGAAGATCTTCTTGTCATAAATGTGTAAGTGTGTCAAATCGGAATCTTCATACAAGAACAAAATATATGCAAATATTACAATAAAGTGCAGGTAGAGATGCAAAGTCTAAATAAAGCTTTGTGTTCATACATTGGCGTTCACCAAGCTGTGTGTCTCACAGCCATTTTAGTGTCATAATTCACTTTGCTTTGTGTCTTTTACACTGTTTTAAGTGTAATCAAGAAGCTACAATTGACATATTTTTTAATTATGTCATTCACGTATAAATATGGGAATGTGAAAATGAATTTTTTTGTGTGTGAAAAACTTGTGACATAAACCTTACAGCCATCCATCCATCCATCCTCTGTTGTGTGTGTATTTCTTTAGGTTATGTGTGAGTTGGAGGCTATCTCATTTGATTTAGTGAAAAAGGCAGGCTGCATGTAGGACTGGTCGATGGTCAACCAAAAGACACGTGTAGACAAAAACGCACAACATTCACACATGTGGACATTAGCGTCTTTGTTTAAACTAACATGGGTGTCTTTGGAATGTGGGAGTAACATGGACAAACATTGGTAAGGACTAAGGATGGATGAAATCCTGCATGCAAATTGTGTGAGTACTTGAGCTGCAACATTATGATCACGGAGTACTTCTTTATATATTTATAAAACTAAAGTCCTTATGGGGTATTGGCTGCAGAATTTTGATTGAGAATTATTTTTCCATTTTGGAATAAACCTGTACATAGTGAAGCAGTATAGATATTTTCTTGACTCACTGTACTCGATTGTATGCATAAGACAGGCAAAAGAATGGACTCCATACGATGCTGTACAATTCTACACTGCAAACTACATGCAAACCCCCCCCCCAAAAAAAAATGTTAAATGACCACTGGACATGTCAATCAAAGCAACATTCTCAGTGTCTTTGCTCATTTTGATCAAGAAAGTTAAAAAAAAAAAAAAGATCAATCGTCGATGATGAACCAGCCAACATTAGTTTTCCATGGAAGATGAGTATGAAGAAATATAGACCAATGACTGTGATTTTTTTTTTTTTTACACTAAATCCCACCGGAAAAAAAATCCTCAGATTTACAAATACCTCCATAACACCCACCATTAAAATATACTTAAATGATGTTTGTACATAATTATTTTTTTAAATACTGTTCTTAGCTATTAAATACAAATATAATGAACTCAAGTTCAATACAACTGAATTGTACTTTGTGATTTTTTTTGTGCCACTAGAGGGAGACGGTTAATGTTGTGGGTGTGTGAGAGGCTGGAAAAGGGGCTTCTAAATCTGTTGGACGGTGGTCTCTGGCAGAGCAGCAGAGGTGGAATCCCTTTCCAGCATGCTCCCGCTGGCCAATGAGCACGGACGCCTCCCAGACATATGGGCTAGGCCTCCCCAAAATAACCTGCGACCGAGGCGCTGACAAATGTTGCTACTTTTACTCCTGACAGGTTACCCTAGCTACTCGCCTTCATATTTCCCCGTAAACGCCAAGGGTAACTCTGTGCGAGAAAAACGGGAAAGCTGGGCAGCTGCCTGTCCCAAGGTTTTCCTAGGTGGCAGCAAGTGGAAGACGGGAATCTCCCACTTTGAGCACAGGTGCAACCTGAGGATACACCAGTCCATTCCCAGACGCCAGCTGGGCTTACTCTGAAGGTAAAAAAAAAAAATAACACCCCTTAAAGTCATTATTCCTGCATGGTGTCCTTTGGGATCAGCCTCATGCTGCGCAGAGCTTCAGAAAAAGCTCTTGACATGATGGATTTCGGTCTACTTTTAGATGGCGACTGCGAAAGCTGCTGCTTAATTCAATTTACTCTACCCCAAAACACCCCCGCGCCCCCACCCGAGTGGTGCGGTCCTGTGTTTGCGCGGCAGGCGCCGGGTGTTTTTTCACCTAAATCGGCAAATCTCGGATCTACGGCCATTCCGATCACTTTGTTTGGTTGTCATTTGATTGGTGATTGTATTGTGACTGATCTAACTCGCGATAACAAGGTCACGCAAGATGAGGGAAGCTGCTTTTCTTTGTTGATTTTCTTCTTGTAAACTGAGCCCCGGTTATTATTAGATATGACTTGGTGGGCTTGGAGTCTGTTTGCAAAGGATTAATGTACACAACAGCTGCACCTTCAGATCCGCTGGAAGGGCATCGCCAGCGCGTTTAATCGCACTGATTTGAGTGTCAGTAGCATATGCGCACACTATCTCGTGTCTGTATTCCATGACTCGCTCATGCTTAGTGTCAGAAAATTATGCAAGGAGGAAACTTTACAGAAGTGAGGAAGGGGCGTGGGGGAGTCTGTATCCCGCCAAAGCGGACAACCTGTTAAGACTATTTTGAAATTCGACGAAAATAAAATGCTATTTTTGATCAGCTCTTTTACCTTCGGCTTCTGTATTCAGGTTGTCAACAGAGGCTGTTGTTCTTTATCGGTATCCATCCACGGCATCAGACCAATTCTCATTAGGTTTCGTGAGTGAGCTGGAGGCTGTCCCAGTTTTTGGGTGACAGGCAAGGTAAAGCCTAGACTGGTCGGCAGCCGATTCCAGGGCACAAATACTGTAGACAGGCATTCACACATTTATACCAAAGGACACCTTTGAATCTGCAATGAACCTAAAGTGCGTGTTTTTTAGATGTGGAAGGAAGCTGGAGGAGCTGCAGATTTTTTTCCCTCCATCTTAATAGCGTAGCTGAATTTATCTTTTTACAGCAGGGGTGTCAAACGTGTTCTCACCGCAGACCACATCGTTGTCCTGGTTGCCCTCGAGTTACAGAGGCGGGGGAAAGTAGATATAAATTGATAAAGATGTAATGCTAAGGCAAATATCAATTGTTGAATTCCCCTAGTACAAAAGTGAGACGTATTGGCTTCTATACCCCTTTTTTTGTTACAACAGGCGTGTCAAACTCATTTTTGTCATGTGCCACATTGTAGTTACAGTTTCCCTTGGAGGACCGTTACGAATTTGGGGAAACCATATAAATGTTTAATCACCTCCACATATTACATACACAGCGTACAACAAATTGATGGATAACTAATTTTGAAATCAGATGTCAGGAATAATGACTGTTATTGTGGATTACATATGACAATTTGAAATTTTGGTTCAGACTTTAGCAAGCATCATGGAACTTGACATGCTTGATTTGCTTTCGCGGGCCACATAAAATGATATGGCGGGCCAGATCCAGCCCCCAGGCCTTGACTTTGATACCTGTGTGTTAGAAGGATCAATTCACAACCACTTTCATTAAGGTTGCACATGCGAATGGTAAGATACCATAAAACTTTGGTGATGAGAGGATCAAATAATTTTTAGTCATATCATGATCCATTTATATCAAGGGTGCCCAACCAGTCGACCGCGATCGCGCGTGTGCGTAAATAACGGGTCGATCGCGGAAGGTGGTTGCTTGGAAAGTAAATCTTCGGTCAAAAAAGGTTGGGCACCCCTGAATTATATCGACCAAACACACTCAGCAGATGGTGCTGCTTCGACAGTGAAGTGAATAATTAAGGCCTTCGTGGTTTTTCAGTGAGTCAAACATGCTCCGGTCAAGTTGAGGAAATGACTGCAAGGGCCTATGGCTGCGACGTCAGGGATATCATTCTGGATTATCTCACACATACTACTGAAAACACATTGTATTTCAGTATTCAGTAGATTACGTGAGCGTATTTCAGTATGATGTGTGAAAGGATTTCAGTTGCGCATGTCAGAGGATTTTGGTTGGAGGTGTGAGGGTGTGTAAGAGATAATCCTGAATGATGTCCCTGATGGCCTCTCATCTAAAGGGCCATCCGTGTAAGTCGTGCATGTCAAACGTTCTTTAGCCCCAACACGATTGATGAGACCTCCATTGTACGCGTGCAGCAATTGAATCTCATTGCCGCTTTTATGATTCTCCCCACTCCCAGTATGCAAGAAAACGCCGCTGAGCAGCCACCGTCGCTCTCTCAGCTCTTAAGGGAGAGCTACCTGGCCGAGGCCCGAGCGCAGCAGCGTCACAGCGAGATGAGCCGTTCCGACGCGTCATCGTCACGCCTTCAAATTTTTGGCCTGCTCAAGGGAAAGGCTGAGGACTCGGCGGGGCTCCATGAAAGCCAATTGCCAGACCTGTCGGCATTCCTCAGCCAAGAAGAGCTGGATAAGAGCGTCAACTTGGCCCGCCAGGCCATCGGACATGAGCCCCGGGAGGAGAGGCCCGAGGTCAAAGCCGCCGTCACTCCGTCTGCCTCGGCGTCCATTTCTTCGTCCACAACTTCCTCTGTTCCCCACACAAAGCCCTCTCCTGATCCTTATATGCCCTCCTCCACTATGCCTTTCACACAGCCGGTTGAGTCGCCAACAACGCAACCAAAGCTCGCATTGGACAGAAAGCCACACATAGCCTCCACGCCGCAGGACAACACCATGAGGAACAATAGTGAAGGTCTAAACCACTTGAACAAGTCGGTGAGGAACTCCCCATTTGGGATGGAGACCCAGTCCAAGAAAGAGTTCCTTAACAAGGCGGCCGATTTTATTGAAGAGCTTTCCTCTCTCTTCAAGGCTAACGCATCCAAACGGATAAGACCGAGAGCGTGCAAAGCCCATCGGAGTCGGAACCAGAACAAAAGCCAGAACGATGGAAAAATTTACTCTGACGGCTCAGACAGCAGGGAGCGCTTGGCCATATCCGCGGACCTGGCGCAGGATGGGTCTGATGCCATCGTTAGCCACCAGTCAGAGGTCCAGCCGGACTCTGGGATTGGTCATGTGGAGATACAGGATAGTAGGATTTCTGAAGAGCAGCAATTTGAGTCGAAAGAGGTGGAGGCGCCGGAAAATTACATTTTGACACAAGCTCCATCGGGTGCAGACGAGCAAACATGTGAGCCACCCCATTTTATCCAGAAACTGAAAAGCAGAGAAGTTCCTGAGGGTAGCAAAGTCCAGTTAGACTGCATCGTCAGAGGACATCCGACACCTGAAGTCCGGTAAGAAGCCAAAAATCTGCAAGGCAATCCAGTCTGACAGGAGCTCTAATATTAGTTAGCCGAGGATACGTTTGCATCTGCATTAGCTTCATCGTGTCATATTACCAAACTGAAAAGTTCCTGTACTGGTGCTCAGAGTCTCTTTAGTCTCTTTAATCTGAGAAATACTAGACTGAGCTCTGAAAGAGGGATTATGTGACATTGCCAATTAAACACAGTAAATGGACAATCTGGGACTTTGGTTCGTAGCACGATTCTATAAGGAAACAATGAAACTGTCATGTGTCTGTCAGTAGTTCCTGCTGATTCATAATTCTTTAACCTAGCAAGATAATTTTATCATTCAGGAAACAGTTTGAGGAGCTCCCTTTTCTGTTCTAGCATGACACAAAACAAGGTCAATCAAAACATTCTTGAATGTATCTGTTGTGGGTGAACTTGCGAGCCCTGAGATCAACCCTGTCAAAATAAAAGTAAAAATTCACAGAGCTGCCACACAGGGACCAAATAAATTTGCATTTTCAATTCCCCATCTGTTTAATGTGTTTAGACGAGAATCATTTAGGGAGTTTTCATTACGAAAGACAAAAAGTCCAGACCAGCAAAAGTTAAATTTATACAGTGTGTGTGTGGAACACACACACACACACACACACACACACACACACACGCACACACACACACACACACACACACACACACACACAAAATTTAAAAGACATGGTTAGAGTGCCTAATGTGAATACAAAGTGCAACTTCCAAGACTGGATTTGCGCTGCATGGTTCAAATAACATAATTCCAATTTGTTCGTCTCAGGTGGCATAATTTGGATATGCACCGTGGCAGACAAGGAAAAAAAAAAATAGTTTGGCTGTCGTCTTGTCTAAAAGTCTGATTCATGTTGTATTTGCTGATGCCCGTGCAGTAGAAATGGAGAGATTCACATTTGTATTATTCTTGCTTTTGCTGTATGTGTTGCCGCTTGGTGGTGATGATGCTGGTGTAGTTCTTTATGTGCACTTTGGATTCCGGATACGTGCCATTGTGTTGAAATTGTGCATCAAAATAATTTAAAAAAAAAATCTGATATGGGCTTTAAATTAGAATTAGCCAATTGGACCTACAGTAAAAATCCGTCTTTAGGGCGAACAGAATCCATTCTGGGCTGGGCATGGGGCTTGATTAGGCAACATTTTCCCAATTTCTTAACAGTCACCCTGTAAAAAGAAGTTGAACACAGTTAATAGTAAGACATAAAAACAATTCAACCCTCAATATTAACTTTAGAGTAAAAATGAGGGCGTCATGTGAAGATGAGTCCTGTCGAAGGTGAATGTCATCATTTGACTTTTTTTTTTTGTTGAATGACAGGTGTAAAAAGAAGCTCAGCACCATTATAAGTAAACTGATAATAATAAAAAAAAAAAATGCTCAACCTTATCGCTTCCATTTACTTCAAGAAACTTCCAGTGTAGTATCTACTCGCCTCTTCACTTGAGACCCCTCGTGGTCCTCCTTTTGTAATTTGTCATTTTTTTTCCCCTCCAAAAATATTGCTCAAGAAACACTTAGGGGGTCCTTAACTATTAAGGTTCCACTCTCCAAACATTTTCAGTTTTTACTTAGGGTAAGCATAGACTTAGGTTTGGAAAATGCCACGAAGGGGTCACGTGAAGACGTTCGAGGCTGGGCAGCATGCAGGCGAGGTATAGGCGAGGTCGAGGGGAGGGGGCATGGTCTTGTTAGTCCTACTGAGCATTGTTGAGGCACTAACATACACTTGTGCCGGGAGAATGCAAGCGCTCGGCCATTTTTAGACTGGACTGGCAGTGCGAGCTGTCGTCTCGCCTGATAATGGAACCGAGTGAGCTCTTGGCAGTCGCATGAACACGCGCAGCACTTGGGTAAGAGGGTTTATTTGCTCTTTAGTGGAAACTTGACATTGTTTCTTCGTTAATGTACTTTCATCTTTTGCATAAGTTGTTTTATTTTAAGTTAGGTGTAACCTAAGATATTTCTTGAAATTTTTTTTCATTCTATGAACCTCATCCTTCGCGCTAACGTTCATTAGGACTGTTTCGGTTACTGATTTGCCATTTCTAGTCGATGTGCTTGGTTGTATCGGCGTGCGCGAGAAGTTTAGCGTGATGTGAGTTTGGTGAGGGGAATCTCCTTGCTAGTTCGGAGCCGAAGGAGGAAAATAGCTCTGACAGGTGCAGTGAGGAGCACACCAACCATCCTCTTTACTACTCATGCTTTTAATTTAGACTCTTACTCATGACAAATGACTCTCGTGTAGCAGAACATCCTGCAGTGAGTCTATTCCAGTGAGGCATGCAAAGGAATTCCGGTGTACCTTCAATGTGAAATCACCATTGTACATATTGAGCGGCGTCACGAGAGTTTGATGACAGCACCGAATCGGATTTACCGATGTCAAGCTCTCACCGTCTCGCCACGTGCCCATATCATTCCTCTTTGATTATTGGCTGGATTTTTCGAAAGCTTGGGGACTCATCGTCTGAAAATAGATGTGCCGAGTTTCTCGTGCTCATGTTGCTGCATCGTGCATTGGAAGTCAGTTTTCTGTTTCTTCTGTAGTTTTGGAATGAATAACTAGACTATACCAGATTGTTGTCAACTCAAACTCTGCTCGTCTAGTAGCCACTGGAAGGTTTTGGAGACCAAACATTTGAAGTAACATTTTTTGAATGTTGTTTTTGTGGGCTGTTGGGAGAGCAATTCTGCATGCAGGAAATGAAAAAATGTAAATTGGAAAATTCTGAATTCACAAACGCAAGCACTCGTTCACATAGGGCAATTAATTATTTACTCCCACTCTCATGAATTGCACTGCGTGATTGAAGTTGAACACGTGGATTTATTTAATGCTGATGTCATGTATCCTCTCGTCGTTGTCTATGAAAAGGTAAAATAGCCTAACCTAAAAATACAAATGTGAGGCCTCAAGATAAAGTTTCAAGTCAAAACGTGCAGGTTGTTATGCAGTGCTGCAGTATCCCGGGACTGTCTAAACTGGGGGAAAAAAAGCACTGATTTACTTTACAGGCAAAAGGGAAAGTGTTTGCTCATTGAAGTTTATGTGATGGACTTGTAACTCAGCCAAAAAGCCCCGCAAAGAGGCTGTGCATAGCTGTAGCTTTAAAGGGACAGGAAGAAAATCGCCACAAAAACAAAGTGTAAGCGGAATCACTCAAATGTCGTCGCAATGAGTTGGAGTATGGCATCCACACAGCAATATAGTTGCAGAACTTGTGTGCTTGCTTGGGCTATTGATAAATTGACTTTGGCCAACCAATACAAACTGACCTGGGAACAAAGTTTGAGCTGCTTCCCCAAACAATACTGTCAAAGCGGTATTACTTTAACCATCCGTCCATTATCTTGTGTGTATAGTTGGCAGTGGTGTAGAATCGCATTGTATCATACTGAGATTAAGACCAAAAAAAAAAAAAGCCAAATATTCCAAACATGCAAATGTTCTGTTCATTTTTCCGAGTTGCAGGTGGTTCTGTGAGGGCAAGGAGTTGGAGAACAGCCCCGACATTCAGGTCATCACCAATGGTGAGCTGCACTCTCTGATCATCACAGAGGCTTTTGAGGAGGACACCGGACGTTACTCCTGCTTCGCGTCTAACTTTTACGGAACTGACTCCACCTCAGCTGAGGTTTACATTGAAGGTGATTCTGTCATTCTCTTTAGATACTTGAAAGCTGCGCTTCTCAAACTGTGCATTTGCAATCAACCTTTTGCCAAGAACAAATGGGCAAAATTGTTTCACGAGGCTCATTTCTTGTCATATGAAACACAATGTGAAAATGATTCCGCTCAGTTTTCCTGGTTTCTTAGCAGGTATTAATTAAACTCACAAATCACGTTTTGGGCAAAATAGTTACCGGAGTGGTTGAAAATTTTTTAGAAACCCGTGTTTTAGAGAGCCTGTATAGAATGCTCAAATGCACGTATGATCCCACAGGCGCATCCTCTTCAGACTCTGAAGGGGAGCCGCACTTTGAGCATGTAGCCCAGTAAGTTGTCCTATTCTCTCCATTTAGATTTAAAAGTGTTGAAAGCACTTTATTGGTAATGCTTAGTCTTTGTCTTTTTGTGATTTTGAAAGCCTGCAGGGAAAACAGTCAGAGTCCACTCCACTATCAAGCCACATCACCGCAGAAGTTCAAGAGTCTTCAGTAAATCAAACCACAAGAGAACCAGCAGAGGAGCTCAGCGCTCTTGTGACCCCGAAGGTCCCAGTTCCTGTGCAGACGATAACCAACTCACCTCCAAGCCCAGAGCTCTCCCAAGCATTGGCAGCATCTACAGCTTATCCAGAGGAGGCTGAAACAGGAGTCTTACCTGTGGAAGTGTTTCCGACGTCACCACCAGCACACCTCACAGAGGGTCAGTTGCTGCCTGGGGCTGCTTTGCTCACACCCGCACCACAGCTTTTAAACTCGGTGCCGCCGCTCCCCAACGCCGCTCCAACATCGCAACCTGAGGTACAACACCTGACACACTTCCTACAATTAGTGTTGCATTTCTCCTGATAACATGTTTTTTTTTTTTTTATTGTTTTTGTCCAGAGTCAAACATCTGGCTTGAACCCCCAGCAAGACTTTAACCAACAAGCCGTCATGGCTGCCCCTGTTTTTACAAAGGTAGAATTAGCAGTAAAAGGATATTTGCTATTATTTTGACGATCCAGTATGTTACAACAACACCTCTTTCTCACATCTCTAGAGTCTTCAGGACCTGGTGGCTTCAGAGGGGCAGCTGATCGTGCTCGAGTGCCGTGTGAAAGGAGTGCCGTCCCCTCGAGTGGACTGGTACAAAGAGGCAAAAATCATCGAAGACTCTCCGGATTTTCGAATACTGCAAAAAAGTAAGCACGGGATGACACAAAATATGAGGTTAATACAGCACTAGGATATTCAAAAGAGCGACAAGCACAAAATGATTGCACACTGGCAGATTTTCGGTTGTAATTTTACAAAGTCATTATTGTTTGAGATACCCAAATCAAATGTTGATAAATTGACCACCACCCTGGTTAATAATAATGACTTTAACACTTTGCTCAAAGTTCAGCAAGAACAGCAAGTAACATCCTGCTTGCCAAATCATTGAGCTCACAATTATCTCTACTACTTTTGCCATCTTTGTAATACTATAAATTGTACATTGTTATTTCTTAAAATAGGCTCCTCCTCAAATTTTTTAATGGTAAAATCTATGATGTCAGCAAAAGTGTTCAGAAATACATTTTGAAAATGATACCAAATGAGGCTCTATCGGTGAAACAGTAAATTTCTTGTATTTTTGGGGGGGTTGTTTTTACGTCACTATTATTTCCTTTCACTGATGATCGGCAAGTAGAAATCCTGCAGCGCAATAGTGAGGCATTTGGAGTTTTGTTAATCTCTTACGTCCAAATGTCAGGATGATCTGTTCCAACGATTGTTATTACAATACATATTGATAATGGTGGTGCTCTTTTCTGTTTTCAGAGCCCAGATCTCCAACTGAGTCAGGTAGCTTTTTTTTTTTAAATATATATACTGTATATGATTCTTCAGGAATCATATACAGGAAAATATAACTTGCCGTAGGAATTTATCATGCCGTGTTCAGACATCCTGTTCTGAAGTGTTTAGTCCTTGGTGGAGACTTCTGCTCCTCTTCTGTACACAAGCCAGGGCTGCTTTCCTGTGCTTGTGCACCTTATAAGGGAGTCTCTCATCCTGTGTCGAACCACCATGGCAGATCATTTCAACCTGCCTTAGCTTCAAATAGACTCATCGACACGTACAAAGGAACTGTCAGCGTTACTTTGGCAAGACTCTGAACAGCAATCCCGTCCGAGCAATGTAATCGTGTGAGTATCACTTTTGTTTCTCCAGAGGAAATATGTACATTGGTCATCGCTGAGGTCTTTACTGAAGATTCTGGGATGTTTACTTGCACCGCAAGCAACAACTATGGAAAAACATCCAGTACTGCAACACTCAAGGTCAAAGGTAATAATTATGTTTTATATTGGGAAAAAGAACAATGGTATCATATTAGTCGGATGTCAGTACATTCAATGAATGTACTCTTTTTAATGATTTATTATTTTATTTATTTTGCAGCGAATGATGTTAACAACCATGCAATTAGGCCTTTTTGTACTTTAACTGTGGAGCCCAGTCGAGTCCAAGAACCTTCCGCATCAGATCTCCGTATCCCTCCTGTAAAACCCCAAACAGATATCGCTCTGACCAATAACATCAAGCCCCACGCCAGCACCATCCGGTTGGATCCATTGGCCAATAGCACTTTACGTTTGGACCCCTTAAACACCAGCACCCTTCGTCTGAACCCCAACAAGTCCAGCATGCTGCGTCCGGACACCATACGAACCAGCCTACATGGTCTGGACCCCAACGGCTTCTCCGGTGGTCCCAGTCTCAACCCTCGCAGTGTTAGCACCCCTACCTTAGACCCTCACACCCTTCGCCAGGAGCCTCCAGGGAGCACAGGGCAACAGGCTCCACACCCAAAACCTTACACTGCACCACCTGCGATGGAGCAGGAAGCATCCAGAGCGATGTTGACATCACCTGACGCAAGTTCCAATTACAAGGCAGCATTTAATCATCAAAATGGGGCATCTGTTCCGTTGGCCCTTCCCAATCCACCTCCTAACTCCTGCCTGAAGTCAGGGGTCCTGACAAACCACAAAGACTCCCGCTCCAGCGCCAGAGTCGGACTGCGTGTACATTTCAAACTACCCGAGGATGAGGAGGGCGAGCAAAGTGAGATATCCGCTCCACCTGCTGAAGACGCTTCTGATGCACAGGTCAACAAAGGACCACCACCAGTGCTGACAAAACCCAGATTGTAAGTAAAGATGATAAGATTAGATTTGTGATGACAAAATAAAGCTCTAAAGCAATAATTGCTCTTTCACAATAAAGAGTCGCTTTTCCCAAAACTTTGGTCAGGATCTGGTAGAAATGCTGAAAGCTTTTTCATTTTTGTCATTTACAAGACCGTATTTTTAAACACCGGCATGTTATGCTATGGCAATACACAATATCATCACTCTTCGGATGAAAATGTGCTTTGTATGAGAAATCCTGCCTCAGTCTACAGACAAAAACAAGATTTTGCAACCCAAATCTCATTTTTAGTTCATATAATATCAAGATTTGATCCTCCCCCTCCTCTTCCAGTCCAAATATAAACGCTCCTCCTTCCGCTCCACTCTTAGTCGCAATTCACGAATCCGTGCAGGCAGACCTCAAATGTGGACCTTCAGGCTCTCCAAAACAAAGGATGGCATTTTCTACTTGTGAGTCCACTTGAATTTCTTCCATTTTATGCAAGCGGTTTCTGGGGTCAGTATCATGTGTGGTTTCCGATCATCCTTGTGCTCACTCTGAGAAATTGGATTACCGCTGCTACTTGGGATTGGATTGGAGTTTGATCATTGACTTGTTTTGACAAAAGACAAAACAGGACGGTGATTTAATCAACAGCAGTTGAAGATGATGTAAACTGTGACTGTTAAGACTCCATTTAGTGTGCATATCGAAAAAGTTCTGAGGCTATGCGGTGTTGTTTTGTGACCAACTTGTTGGTGGTCCTTAAAAGGACAGATAATCTCCATGCTGACTTTGGCTCACTCCTTTTGAGCTTTATGGGTCTGACCAGCTGTAATTCACTGGAACACAGCACTGTGCCTCCCTCATGTTCACCATGTATAGTGTCTTTCCATCTTCACCTCTGATGTTGCTTGTATTTGATTGACAGGGACCCGGCGCAGCTCCAGCTCCTTCATAACCAGGTTCTTATGGAGCAGCAGCAGGAAAGCGAACCCTCAACCCAAACCCACAATCAGCCTTCGATCCAGGTTAAACCAGAGGCCACAAGCTCTCGCGAAGGTTCACTCTTTTCCCTCAGAGAAAACCGGGACTCCCATTCGACCTATCTTCACACCACCTCACAAATGACGCCCAAATCTGGACCTCCCCACGCCGTGACGTCCCCTGCACCGCCACGGAGCTCTGCTCCGGCGATAGGCACCCCTCCTCCCCCTCTGCGATCTTTTCCATCCGCGTCGCAGGTTAAGACCACCTCCCTGGTGACGTTGCCTCCACCTAAGCCACAGCTCAACCACGCTCCTCCTTTCAGCGTGGCCCCTTCAAGCCAGATGACCAGCATCCATGCCTCACACGTCAACCCGTCGACAACAGTTCTTACCAGAACTGCACCCACAGCGCAATTTTCCTCTCAGCCAGTGTCAAATTTCAGTTCGACTTCAACGGATGTCACGTCTCCGGCTGCTTTCCTGAGAAGCACCCACGCTTCCCTCATGAATCTGACCGCGACCTCACAGGCTTTCAACTACACCCGCCCGAAAGAGTTCATCACGGGTCAAACTTTCTCACCCGTCAGGAGCCCCTCTCCGACCGAATCCCCAGTCCCGCTTCTCCAAGAACTGGCAGCTGCGCTCCACTCTTCCGCCACCAATTCGCCAGCACTCCCTCCATTCTCACCACCGACCAGGACCTTTCCCACAAGAGTGCTCCAGTCCCCATCGAGCCCCCCATCACTCATATCCTCACCCACACCGGGTTCGGCACCGACCTTAAACAACGCGTTTACCATCAGAGCACAGTCCCCTCCACAGGCTTCCTCGCCCACCTCCAGCACCTCCACACCAAGTCCCATCCAAAACCCCGTGGCTTTCCTGAGCGCCATCCTGCCTTCCCTGACCTTACCTCAGCCTACCAACTCCATGGGCCTTCCCAAAGGGGCACCTTCAGGGTACTTTGCATCTGACTTTTTGCACGACTGTCGAGGTGGATGGGCTGTCCCGTATTCTCCAACATTTCTTCTGTCTCTTAAGGTTCACTAAGAAGGCGCCAAAGACACGCCTGCCATCGACCGAAATCACTCGCGAGAGCAAAGATGCTGTTCTTTATGACATTGAGAAAAAACTGCAATTTCAAGATGATCTTCCCATTTTTGCCTATCAGCAGGTACCAAACACCCCTTCGGTTATTGAATGGGACAGTCGTTTGACATGATAGTACAGTGCGCAATCACTAATTATAGACTAACCAAGATTGTAGGCTGGAGTTCAGCCTGGTTTTCAACAGTTATGTGGACAGGAGCCTTAGTCATTCGGAAGACTCGGGTCACTTTTTCTATTGTTTTCATCAATTTCAATAGCTCAGCATCAGTCTCTTAAGGGGTAAACAGGTTCGGCAAATTAACAATATGATATAATTGTACAAATACTGACATTTCTCTTGTCCCGTTAAAATTTACAGTATATACCTTGCACCTGAGAAACAATGTTATCTGCATTTTTATACCAAAATTGAGAGCTATTTCAAAGGTGTACTTATTAAAATGGACATTTTCAAATTACCACCACCACGCGCGGACAGTTAGAAGACCCTGCTCTGTAATTAATTGATCCCTGCAGAAAGGCTCACAATTCATTTTAAATGAAGTTGTGAAACTTGGTTTGTTACTCATGGTCTGTAGTAATAATAATATTCATAACAATAATAATTCCCCTAACGGGTGGGCCATCAGTAGAACATTTTTCCTTCCTAATTCACGATCACCGGTCCATCGTGTCCATGCACTGTAACCATGCACGGGTATAACCTTCCTAAGCTTGTCTGTGCGCTTCTCTCAGTCGGTTTTGTGTGTCTTTGTGGGAGTTCATAATCCATCCCTGTCCTCTCATAGAAGCGGAGTATTGAGGGGAAAACAGCGAGCAGACCCCTTGTTGGACCAAACATTCCAGCTACTGTCATTAGCTATGATGAGGTACAAGGATCATCTCATTGCAAACACTCAACTCAACTCAACTGTATTGATAGAGCACTTTCAAACAGCCACTGCTGCATAAAAAGTGCTGTACATGGAGCAACTAACATATATACAACAATAAAGCACTAATCAGTAAGAACGATGGTAGTAGGCACCAAATAGTGAAACTAAGATCAAATCTGAGTCAAGCTGAGTCAAATGCCAAAGAATACAAGTGAGTTTTGTAAAGGGCATTGCAGTAATCGATTCGGGGAGCGAGCATGATGATACTTCGGTCAGCGTACAGTGCCGGGCATGTTTGGACACAATTTCTCATGCAATAGAATGGTTTGTCCAAACTTTTGACATACCATTCAAGCATCCATTAACTAATATATGACCTGCATGAAAAAAAATCTACTGCACTGTGCTCATGACTCACTGTTGGTTCACTTCAAAGTTCACTCATTTCTACTTTTACCAGTATATGTCCGCATCCCAAACATGACTTAAAAAAAAAAAACAACAAAAAAAAAAAACATTATGTTTTTAAGGACTTAGAAAGCAATTAAAACTTTTTTCTTCTCTTATGTTTTGTAGTCCGATGAGTCAGAGTTATTTATGCTAACTCAATGAAATATAAATAAAAATTCCAAATATTCAAGACACGGTGCTCTTATTTAAATTCTGTTCTCTGTTTTAACCTCTCATCTTGCTGCATGAGGTTTTTTTTTTTTTTTTGCTTTCTAGCACAGATGCTACAGCATGTTTCCAATCAAGTGGTCTGAAGTCATAATACACATTTGTATCATCTTCAATAGCCTGTGTGCGTCATTGCATACATTATACGAAGAAAAAGTTAACTTTTCTTTCATGTAGCATTTCCCCCCCATTTTTTAGGAGTACAAAGTTTCCAATTTTGAGCAGAGATTAATGAGCGAGATCGAGTTCCGCTTGGAGCGAACGCCAGTGGAGGAGTCAGACGATGACGTGCAACATGACGACGTCCCCTCGGGCAAATGCATCGCGCCCATCTTTGACAAGAAACTCAAGAACTACAAGGCCATGGAAGGCGTACCTGTTACTTTCACCTGTAAAGTTGTTGGCATCCCCGTTCCGAAGGTGAGACGTCAACTGGTGCAAAAGCTGACTTTTATGTTCGTAACTTACGCCGTATTGATGTCAACAGGTGTACTGGTTCAAGGATGGGAAGCAGATCTTGAGGAAAAATATCCATTATAAGAAGATAAGAGAGGGCGATGGGACATGTGCTTTACATATCGAGTCGACAACAGCTGATGATGATGGAAACTACACCATCATGGCAGCAAATCCACAGGTTACACCTTGCACTTAGCTTCCTCTTCATAACCTCATCCTTCTCTACTCATCTCTGATTCACCATTTGAAAATCAACAGGGACGAATGAGCTGTTCGGGTCATTTGATAATCCACACAGGACCCTCCCGAAACCGACTGACTCCCATTAACTCTCAGAGGTAAGCAGGAACGCAGATCCCGCCTAGCCTGGGTATAAAAAGTCTCTACAACCCTGTTCAAAGGCCAGGTTTTTGTGAGAAATGAGTTCAAAAAGTGTTCGACCGTGAATGTAACCTGTACAACTCCAAAAATATTTTTGAGAGTCAAAATAAACAACTGAACGTGGTTGTACGAGTGTGTACACACCTTCTTTGTTCTGTCCTCATGATTCATGTGACTGCTATACCCAGCGAGATGAGATGTTTAGTCATAGCCGTTTGGGTCCATTTATTAATCTCTTGTGAACAATTCACTTCAATGTTGTTGACAAAACTTATAAAATACCACATTCGAAAAGTACTTACAATATCTGACTAAAATTGTTAACAGCTTTCCTTGGCCCAAGACTCCAACATGTCCATGTTGCTCTTCAGCTATGTCATTGAACCTTGACATTAACTCAAGGCAGCTGACGTGTACTGCTCATTTCCCCACTGGAGGCTGCTAAAGGTTAACTTAACCAAACGCAAAGTCAACATGACTGCAACTAAACATATAACTGGGGTGTGGCTATGCTCAGAATTAACCGATGACCTTCAAATGCTCGCTCAATGGGAGTCAGCACACGCCTGCCACCATTAAAAGTCCCTCTGATTAACTCCAAATAAGGTCCAGATGTTCTAATAGGCTTTTCCTGACATTTTTTTATTGTTTTAAACTGTTAATAAATCCATCCACTCTATCTACGGCCCTCGGTCCAGCTAAAGGAAAAAAAAAAATCCATGCATGATGCCACTATTCTTCATATCAAGACGGTGTTTTTTTTTTTTTTTTTGGGGTTATGAGCGGTGTCGAGTTTGGAATTATGGCCCAACATTTCAGCTATGGTTTCACTGCACCACAACGCATTTTCCACATGCCTGGAAGATGTTGTGATGGTCCGATGAAACCAAGGTTGATTTTCTTTTTTTTTGGGGGGGGGGGGCAAATTTCCAAAAGGTAGAGCATGTTGGCGCAAACACTGCTCATCACCAAATTGGAACATCAAACTTACCGTGAAACATGGTGGTGGCAGCTTTGGGGCTGTTTTTTTTTCAGGTGGCCTTTGACAAGTAGGAGGAGGGCATCATGTGAATAGTTTGAAATAGCAGTACTGTAATGCTCTGCACAAAACCTTTAGGCTTCTGCTACAAAGACAAACAAAAAGTAAAAAAAACAAAAAAAAAAAGTCTCCTGGACAATTAGGCAAAACTCTATTATTTCAGTCAAATGTATTATTGCCCCTATTGAAAAGATGACATTTCTTTTTCAGTTGAGTTGAACAGGTTATAGGCCACATTATTGGTGTTTGAACTACAATTTCCCATTTGAATGGATTTGGAACCAAATATATAAAGGGTTAAATGTCAAGGACTTGCCTCAACCTCTCCGCATTTTAGGGTACGAACTCGCGTACAGGAGGTTGAGGGAGAGCAAAGCCATGAGCGTTTTTTCCAGCCTCACTTCGTCCAGGCTCCAGGAGACACGCTAGCACATGAGGGGCGAGTGTGCAGGCTGGATTGTAAGGTAGGTACCATGTTGTGAGCATCGCTTTCACATACTGTTGAATTTGCAAATTCCACCCTCAAAATGATCCGTTCTTTTTTAGGTGAGTGGTTTGCCCAACCCCGAGCTCATGTGGTTGGTCAATGGTAGGCCAATCTATCCAGATCTTTACCATAAGATGCTGGTGCGGGAAAATGGCGTCCACTCTCTGGTCATTGACCCCCTGACACAGAAAGACGCCGGCACATACACCTGCATTGCAAGCAACAAAGCAGGGCAGGGCTCCTTCAGTCTAGAACTCAAAGTTGTGGGTGAGCCGATTTCCGTTGGCGTGGGGGAATCAAGAATAAAAGTGGTGATTTTTATGAAATCTGGGAGGGTTTTAAGCATGAATTTTCCCTTCAGAGAAAGAGATGAAACACCCTCCCCAGTTTGTGGAGAAGTTGCAGAACGTCGGAATCCCCGAGGGGAACCCCGTCCGCATGGAGTGTCGGGTGGTGGGCATGCCCCATCCAGTTATATTCTGGAAGAAAGACAATGACACCATTCCCAGAACACAGAGCAGAATGAGGTCAGTGAGACCAGAGAAATGACTACCGGTATACTACTGTTATGATAGTCAGCAGATGTTTACACGCGAAGAATTTCACCTTGTCAAGGAAAAAGAAATACTGTATTGGCCCGAATATAAGACGGCCCTGATTATAAGACGACCCCCTCTTTTTCAAGACTCAAGTTTGAAAAAAGGCTTTTTGAACACCAAATAAAATTTTATACAGAAAATAATTACAGTACATCTGAAACAAATGATTATAACAATATATTTGAGAGAAAAAGCATGTTATTTGGCCTCATTCAAATCTTAATATCTGAACATTTAAATATGTAAACTAAAGTGCAATCACATTCGTAAATGAATGGCTTCTGGTTTTTGAAATGTGAATGACATCATAACTTCTCCTCAGCTGCCGGTTAACCTGGCCGGACTTCGACCCACTTTTCTCCAGATTGTCGCTACGTTTTATCCATTTTCTGTTATCTCCTATTATTTTTTTCTCTTTTCTTTCTTACCGCTATTTTTCATTTTTCTTCTTCGTGCTACCGCTATTTTTATTTTTATTCTTCGTGATGGGCACGCTTTGGCCTGGGGAGTCAAGTTCAGCATTCACTTCAATGATATCTGGCGCCATCTAGCGTCGTGAATGGGTATAATGTCTAGACCCCCGAATATAAGACGACCCCCACTTTTTCAGTCTTATTTCAATGCAAAAACACCGTCTTATATTCGTGCCAATATGGTATTTTCTAAAATTGACACATGACGGAAAAGAGTGTTGTTTAACAGTCCTGCCAAATTTGAATGATTCAAAATCGAATAATCAAATATCAAGCCAGTCTCTCCTCTTTTGAACACTGTGGTTGTGTTAGCCGACTGCGCTGGATGGATGCTCTGCTCCACTGTCAGTCAGCTGGAAAAATGGGTGCTACTTGTAGCGTGTTTCGTAACTCTGCTTCTGCCTCAGCATGCATCAGGATGCCACAGGATATGTGTGCCTCCTCATCCAGCCAACCACCAAAGAGGATGCTGGCTGGTATACAGTGTCAGCCAAAAACGAGGCGGGGATTGCGGCCTGCACCTGCAGGCTGGACATCTATGGTACGAAAGTGATCAGCACCAAGATAAACTGTCGGCAGCCTTACTGAAGCTTATACATGTCACCATTTGTTCTGACCTTCAGCACAGTGGCATCAGAGCGTGCCGGCACCCATGAAGAAGACGGCAGGTACGGGCAGCCGCTACGCAGCTCTCACAGGCCAAGGACTCGACATCAAATCGACTTTCGCCACATCGGAGACAAACCCCTTCCTGTTCTCCAGCTCCCCTCCTGAGGCCACATTGGAGAGCGAGGAGCTGTGAAGAGCACCTTCTTCTTCGGGAGGGGCACTGAATGTTTACCTACTCGGATTTCTGTGACGAGTTTGACATGAGACACTCAGAGCAAAGAGCGATTGTGAAATGGTTGTGCCACTTGCTAGCACAGTGTCACCATTCCGGTTTACGTAAGTCATATCAAGAGTGTTTCACACATTATTTTTAAAAAAAACAAAAAAAAACATTTGCTAAGTCTTAGCTCATGAGCCATCAATGGAGTTGAATTTTCTCCAACAACTTTAAATGATTAACGTTTATTTGTGCTGTTTTTTTTTTTTTTACTGTTGAGAATATATATATATATATATTTATATATATATATATATATAAAATTTTTTTTTCTCAACAATCTTCTTCTCAAAGTAGTGTCATTTATTTCTCCTTGCAAAACTTCAAATAATTTATATTTGGATTAAGTGTAAGCTAATTCAAGAGTTATTTGAAGGATTTCGGAAAGGCACTATTTTATTTAGGTGGTTGATTTAACATTGGATTGTTTCAACACAAGTGCATTATTTATATAATTTTATTAGGCTACCAGTTCACCATTTCGCACCCTGTTTTCCATGTGTATGCATATGTGATGATGAATGGAATTTTTTTTTCACACTAACATAGGAATTTTGTTAGTAGCTGAAACTGTATGGGTAAGTGAGTCAGATTATGGTAAAAATTGTTGTGACATTACAGTGTCAGAAAGAAAAGTGAAGCCAAAAGGGCAATCTGAGTGGTTTAAATGATTACCTTGGACAAAGAGAATTTCAAGTGACTTATATTGAGGGAAGCTTTAAAGCACCTATTTTACTTCTGTTATGTTGCACACTGTAAAATAGTTTTGTCTTGAGAATAAAATGATATTTATTCAAGTGAGTCAGGGTTTCTTCTGTACACTAAACCTGTCAATATATCGCATCTGAAACATGAGCAAGATATCTCACCTTCATGTGGGTTCACGAAAGTTTCAGCTGATTATTGAGGCCTTGTTTTGACTGTGCTTATTATCTTGAATTCAAAACAAATACAAGATGCCAGGAGTCAATTAAGCATAGCTAATCAGTCCAATTAAAGTGGAAGAAGGTTCAAATAGGCATAAAATTGCATTCACCTTACTTGACCCAATTAGACTGTGAGCCTCATTTGACCAGCTGCCAGGTCGAGTTGCTAGCTGGCTGTCGCTTGCGCGTGTTCCAAAGTCATAAATGTATAATGGGAAGATAACAGCACCGTGAAGATTTTTTTTTAAATTACATATGTGGGAAATATTAGAAATGTTGCTATTATTCAATCATGTTATCGTCACATCAATATGAGACCAATGATGTTTTTCATGCCGAAAAGGCACCATGATGCTCATTTGATAATAATCTGGAGATGATGACGGGATTTATAAAATACACTTTCTCCCGAACTAAAACATACGCTTTCTGGCTTAATCTCCATTTCTCCATAAGGGGATCCGGATTTAATGCCGTGTGCGTTTCTTTTGGGGTTGACGGGTCCCTCCTCAGTTGTGACATATGGCTTTTGACAACGGGCCACAGCTGAGTCGTAGGTGCTCAAATGAGCCAATCATAGAATGGGGTTGGGGGGAAGGAAAAGGGTGGAAGACACGGAAGGGTAGTGTCTCATCGCAGACGAGGCCCTCAGACAAGACAAGCAGCATCTGGCAAACTACATCAATCTGTAATCAATGAACCAACTGGTAGATGGGATTATATGCCTAATTGCACAGCCAACCAGTCCATCCCAAAATGACCAGACAGCATCACTTTGTGTCCCTGACCCACTAGCAGAGACAGCCATTATACTCGGCCTCCGCCGTGATTAATCATTCAAAACCTGCCTGTACACACATAATCCTGGAGATGGTCAATCCAGAGCGACGACAAAAAACACAAAGCATCACTCCATAAACACAGCAGCAGCAGCAAATTTGGCCATAGATTGGAGATTAAAATTAAATTTAGAATTCAATGACGTTCACAGGCCACATATTCTCACCTAGTACAAAATTATATTTTTTTAAAAATTACTTTTGTTCATGGCTGGACAATATTTAGCGCTGCACAAAGCCTCACAGACCTGCTATTAAAAAAACAACATGAATAAATAATTGAAAAGAATAATTCAAAACCAGCACAAATATATATATATATATATGCACACACACACACACACACACACACACACACAATCTCACACACAAACTTTTTTTATTAGATCCCACTCAATTCTTAACAAACTGAAATCCAACTAAATTCTCTGTCAAAACCGGCACTCAATTGTCAGGCAATTTACACAATTGGTCATTTCTTCCAAAAAGAGACTATCTAAGCATGTTGCAGGTTTCTAGACAAGAAAATATACGGCGTTGTAGATTCAACCAAGGTATTGTGCCCCTGAATTCCAAATGTCGTCTAACCAGATGGGAAAGAAGAGACAGACAAATGGTTCTGTCTGTCCCTTTATTTCTTGGCTCAGTACACAGATCAATTATTTATTTCCCATCTCCATCTGACCTTAAGGACACGTATGCCCCCCCCCACCCACATACTGTCCCGTGAATCATTCAGACCACAGCACTGAATAACAACTATTACAACTCACAATGTGAATAAAAAGAGTTTAGCGACATGATGAGCGATATCATTTCCAGGTTTTGATGCAATAATCTGCGCACCATCTTGTCCAGATTGTCCACAACCTTTAATCCCCAGATTTTCAGTTAAAATCCTTCGGGCTACAAAGCACACTTTTGTAGCCTCGGGCTAATCTCAGATTATGCCTCTCATCACATGGAGACCAGATACACGAGCAGTGAAAGGAGATTTGAGGGCATTTGTTGCATGATACTACTTAGTAGCCATGTGGGGGGAATCAAAAAAAAAAAAAAAACTTTTAGATTTATTTGTAAAAATCAGCAGAATATTGGTGAAGAAACCATAATTAGGCTTTTGAAATAAAATAATTCATATAAAAAGATTTGTTTTCTTTTTTAAAATCTAATTTATAAAGTGACGAGGAATTTTGTGTATTAAATGCACATTTTGTGCATTGAATACAGTAATTGTCATGCGTTTTTTTTTCAGACAGAAAGCATATATCAATTTAAATCCTTGAACATAATAGTAGTTACTCACTGTTTTATATAAATATGAATAGATCTAAACTCATTTTGTTGTCAGCTTTATCAAGTTTGTTTGCAGCATCGGTTGTGCAAGCAGATGGTAGACTTTGGTGCTTGTGACACATGGCACCGAGTGAAGCCTCGGTCAGAGAGCCCAGCCCAAGATAATTGGAATTTCATTATGGTTTTTTGTTTGTGTGTGTCTGTGTGTGTGTGTGTGCGCGCGTGTGTAGATTTTATATGCATGTGTGTGTACGTGCTGTGAGTGGGTGTTTAGGAGTCTGTTGCATGGGTGTGAGGGGGTGGTAGAGGGCAGGGACTCCACCTGCTGCCACCTGTTCATCTGCTGTGTGCCTTATAAAAAGCTGCTTTCTTCTCTGGAGCACAGACACCTTGGACTCTTCGGACTATCCGCTCCCTGGAGGTTTAACTATTTGATGCTCAAAGCAAAGGACAACCAACTGGGAGGTCAGACAATCAGAGACCACCGAGGGCACATCCTAAGAGAACTATTTGAACTCACATCTTTGAAAGCTCTCATTGCCGGTTCAGTTCTTCCAACAAAAACATGAAGCCTCGCCGGACGAGCTGCACGGACTCGGGATCTGAATCCTCAGAAGTGGACTCCCAGAGCCCGGAGAAATACGAGTCGGCCATGCGCCGAAGGATGGCTGCCAATGCCAGAGAGAGGAAGAGGATGCAGGGCTTGAACACGGCCTTCGACCGTTTACGAAAGGTGGTGCCGCAGTGGGGTCAAGACAAGAAATTGTCCAAGTACGAAACCCTGCAGATGGCTCTCAGCTACATCATGGCGCTCAACCGCATCCTGACGGACACCAAGAAGCACAACGCTGCACATGGGCAGTGGGTGGACTTGCAGTTTGACTGCGTGCAGCCTGACAACTATCAGTACCTCATGAGGTACGACTCCACGGGGCAGGACTATATCAACTCCTCCTTCTCATATCAGTTTGAGGGGGATCAGCTCAACATTTAAAAAAAAAAAAAAACGAAATTAATAATAATAATAACAATAATCTGCCGTTTGGCATGCAAAACAGTGTTGTAAGTGGCAACGTGAAATCATGTTTTTTTCTTCAATTACGGAGACAGTAAATACATTTGTATTGATTTATGTCTTTTCATTATCTTTGTTTGGTAATCAAAAGACTTCTTTTTTTTTAAGTCTTTGATATATCTTTGCTGGGATACCGAGCAGGTTCTTCACTGCATGGTATGATGTCAGACATGTAGTGTCATTAAAATGACCATTAGATTGAACATGCAATTGTGTATTTATGGCTGCTTTGAATATACAGCCTGGAAATGTTGTGCAATTTTAGTGCATTCAGAGAATCATAGGTAGTAGTTGCATAGCTGAAGCTAATATGTAACTATTGGGGAGCTGGGGGAAAAAAAAAATTCAACTTGCAATCTGTTGTTTTTCACATGCTGAATTATAGTTTTGGATTGAGAATAAAGAATTTTTTTCGATCAAATATATTCTGCTGTCCTTTTTATGGAGATCATCATTATAATTTTGGCCTTGATGGACTGACATTGTAATATTCAATATTATCCTACAAACAATTGCGTAATAGTACAAATAGCCACAAAAACTTTTGGAAAAGTTTCCTTCTTTGTGCGCTACGAAACATTGTTACTGTGCAGATAATGTCACTTAGAGGTTAGTCTTTACTCTGTGTGTGTGTGTGTGTGTGTGTGTGAGTGAGAGAGAGAGAGAGAGAGAGAGAGAGAGAGAGAGAGAGAGAGAGAGAGAGAGAGAGAGAGAGAGAGAGAGAGAGAGACGATCTTGCCTTAACGGTAATGGCAGGCCATGTCCACTTGCGCTGCACCCTCACATGTAAATCCTCCATTTGTTCACAGCTTCTGTGCACCGAGATAACAGATTCTTACGTCAGCAGTGACAAAAATAAGATCACTACCGTACTCAAACCACAACAGTATTTCTAGTCGTCATTTTCAAGAGCACGATCATTATGATTTGAAATGAAATCGATTTTCGATTTGTACTTGGTGTCTCACGCAGACCAGCATAAGATTGTTTACAGCCGGGGCAGCACAACAGATTTAAATGGCAATCACGCCCCATTGTCAAGTGATTGACACGGATTTGAAAAGTTTGAATGGTGGCACAAGCCAGAGCAGATTAAGGAAGCCTCTGAGCAAGATGCCGGCCTGGCTTTAGCGGGGCAGCAGGAATTAAACGCCATTGTGTGCTAATGGCTGCGTGGAATCGCTTAGTTCAGAGTCGCTGAAGCGTGAGCGTACAGAGCTGGACCCAAACGCTCCGCTTCAAAAAAAAAAAAAAAAGATACAGCAGCAGTGGCTTAACTGTATCACCCAACTGCCACTGGACTACTGGGCTCCGCAAACTGATTTGATTTGGAGAAGACGTATGGATCCATGTGGGAATTTCCATCCCAAAATGTCTGAGGTACGATGCTCAATCATACAAGGCCTTTAAATGACACATAACGTGACATGCATGTGACATGAGCATCGAGGGGCATTTCGTTTTAGCACTAGAAGCTGGATGTAGCCAACACTGATACAGATGGTCATAATGACTCATTGGCCACATTAAATGTCTGCATACCTAATCAACGTTTGGACCCAAACCCCCCGCTTCAAAAAAAAAAAAAAAAAGATACAGCAGCAGTGGCTTAACTGTATCACCCAACTGCCACTGGACTACTGGGCTCCGCAAACTGATTTGATT